CGCGTGTGTACACAAACAGACCAGGTGATTTGGAAGAACTTAAAAACCGTATTCGTTTTGAAATAAATCAAATCGACCCGGGAATGCTTGAACGAAGTGTAGACGGCGTTTACACACGCTTAGGACAATGCCAAATGGTACAGGGTGGGCAATTCGAACAATTTCGCTAGACTTACACAAACATTAGTGTAATTTTACTCGTTTGAAATGTAATTTTGTCAACTTTGTCCTTTTCGGAGCCATTAATAGTGTAAGTAGACAATTATCACTTATAAGAACTTAAGGTGCATTTTTCTAAAAAAAATTGTTATGTAAGAAATCGAAATTTTCACACCGTTGTTTAGATAATTACCACTGTCATCAATTTCGAACGAAAAAAATATGCGTTATGTCATCGCTGCCGTAAGTGGATTATCGAAAAATAAATTTTTCCACATAACAAGGTGAACTGGATCAAATAAAAATCGACGGGTCTCACCGTGTTTCGAAAAAAATTGTTTAACGAAAATATGACTGGGCGATCGGTCAAAAAATTTAAGTTGTTGACAAATTGCCTAGCAGTGCAGTGCAGTAATATATTAATGAAAATGTAAATGTTTATTGATATGTCATAACCAAAATTTACCATCAATATAATAAAATTGTTGGAGGGCATAAATGATTAAAATATGTTGCTTTAGCAGAAAACTTTTTTAGGGACACCTATGAAATATTAAATTTTATTGCTGGGCGCTTTTATACATGTTCAACTGACTTCGGAAACACTATATGACCAAAAAAGAGGTCACTTTGTGTAAACTGTAGAAGTTGTAAATTTTATGAGAAATTGAAAATCTAAATTTCTTTCTTAAGTATGTGTCTGTAGTTGGAGGAAAAAAGTTCAGAAATTGTTGTTTCGAAAAAAATTAACACGCAGTTGTTACTGTAACTCATGTTTACCGCGAGTGTATAGAAAAAAACATAGAAACGACCACAGAAAAATGTCGCCATTTACAACCACTTAAATCAATTGTTAATACAGCTATCTACCGTCATTTATACTTATTTTATTTTGCAATGACAAAGAAAATCTAGAAAATTGAATAAAAATTTAAAAAGACAGCAATAATGTAGGTGCCCAAATGACACTACATATAACTCTTGACCATAAGCGCATAAAGTCAAGGATATAACTCACGTATCATTTGCAATTTAAAATTAATTGGGGAATTAATGGGGAATTATATGTATAATAAAAGTAATAAACTAAGTTATAAAATCTGTAATTTATTAATTAATAAATACAAATACGTGTAATCTCAATACATATTTATAATAAAATGAAATAGATATAAAATCTTTTAGACAAACGGAGGTAATTTGACGTTATTGTAGAACAAAGTTTAAGTGAATATCAGTTTATTTCTGCAATACTTATTTTTAAGAATGATAGCGTTTAAATTATTAAATGCAGTCTCTAAATCTGAAATATATATGTTTAGTGTGTCAATAATAAGTTTTATTTAAATTCACATTTTCCAACAATTAGTTGAAAATAATAAAATTTTAAAATTGCAATATTTATCAGTTGAATTTGTCAGTATTATTATTACTAAACTTTATATATTCATCCTTTTGAACAGCATCTAGTACATGATTATAGTATTTCATACTACTATAATACATTCTGAATATATGAATTTCAGTTCCAGAATTATACAACTACTACATGCACATCATCATCAAGGTGTTTATTCTTAATTATACTTTTGTAGAATAATGCTGATGCCTTAGGTGTTCTAGTTCTGTTGGCACTATTGAAATCCACATGATACAAACCAAATTTAATGCTAAAATTATAAATTCATTTATCAAGTAAAAAATGAATTTAAAATACATACGTGTAACCAGAATCCCATTCCATATTATCCATTAGACTCCACACAGTGTAACTTTTCACATTACAACCATCTTTATTCACAGCTTGAAATAGTGCCTCAAGAAAAACCTAAAACAATATTTGTGTGACAAGAATTTCAAATACCACAAATTAAAATAAGTATAAAACTTCTAGACGGTTACTTGAAACATGTGTGCTGCCTACGACAAATGCTTTACTAATTAAATTTCATTAGGTATTTTTTTTCAGAGGTGATAAAATACCCAGTCAATTGGTATTCAATATTATTAAACATTAAATTGATGTTAGATACTATTCCTATAATAAATATTTATACTTACTTTTAAAAATAGGATCCTCTCTTTATCTTGCAAAATTCCAGTGTTGTCGCCAATACCATTTTCGGTAATGTATACTAAAGGATTGTTATACTTTTTCTTTATCCAATTTAACAATTTTCGAAATCCCCAGGGTACAATTAGCGGCGATGGCTTCCAGTTTGGATTTTGTACTCCTTTTGTACCTTATAACAAAAATAACTAGTTGGGATAGGAGAAGAAATTGTTATACATGTGCTCAAAATTTACCAAGTCATACATGGGTCTATAAACAGATTCATATTGAATTTGAAAACTTTTTATGTCAAACGGACATTGCATTAAAAAATATATTTTGCAAATAATAAAATTTTCAGAATAAGGTAAATATTTGTTCTAAAATGATACCCCTTCAAAAAATTTACTGTTTTGAAAAATATATCTATCTCTTTTTTAATCCTTAGTTATCACTGGCGAAAAGTTTTTTAATGAACACATTATGCAAGAAATAAATAAAAAGAAATTAATCATTGTATATGACTTTATTGTTTTTCAAAATATTCCCCATGAAGATCAATAGGTACACTTGCATGCGCTTGAATTAATTTTTGAAGCGCTTTTTCTATTCCGATTGGGATACCTCGAAAACATTCCTTTTTAAAATGCATCAACCGCTTCTTCGTGCATCAGAAAACGTTGACCTCGTAATTTATTTTTGATGTGCAGGAATAAAAGAAAGTCATTGAGTGCCAAATCAGGGCTGTACGGCAGATGACTCATCAAGTCGACTTTTTCAGTTCTCAAAAAGCTTATTTGAGCCGATGTGTGAGACCTCGCATTAACCTGATGGAGAATGATGCGTCTTCTTCGGCGGTTGGTTTTCCTTATATTTCCGAGGACTTCTGGCAAACAAATGGTTGTGTACCATTCAGAATTGAGCATCTGACATTGCGCTAATGGTACAGTTACCATCTGTCTGGTTTATCCAAAAAAACAGGCGACCATTTGCTTAGAAATGATTCGTGCCTAAACCTTGCCTTATTGGAATTGGCTCATCTTGAAAGACTCATACAGCCGACTGCTGTTTACGTTCCGACTCATACGCTCGATTCATGATTCGTCACCTCTTACGATGTCATAGATGCGTTTTGAAGCACCGCGATCGTATTTCTTGAGCATTTCTTTCGACCAATCGACACGAGCCATTTTTTGAGCATTTGTCAAATTATGTGGGGTCCAGTTCGAACAATTATTTTTGTCGGACAAATGTTCACGCAATAGTAAATGTATGCTGGTCCCATTAATGCCCAAGAATGCCTGAATCTCACGAAGATCTTGCAATACCAGTTCACGTACAGCTCAGCATCAATGTTTTCTGGAACAACAACCGATTTTGGACAACTTTCTCGAAATTCCCATCAGTGAACGAACCACGGACACGGCCACGACGACTGAATTCCGTATACTACCGACATACAATGGTTTTTGATGGTGCTTCATCGCCAAAAGTCGATTTAAGGTGATCGATACACTATGTTGAAATAGTCCACGTCGAAAGTTCACGGAAATGTTCACGACTTAAGACTTAATTTCATTTTTAGCCGAGATGAATTTTTCAAGTCACTATATGCAACGCCTGTAGGTACTTCAAAACGTTCTGAGTAAGTATACTGACAAAAAATCGATTCTCAGATGGCAGCACCAGGATCCTCCATTCCCGAAATGTAATTTTACTAGTGTTTATGGAGTTATTTCTTTGGTATATTTAAAACTTTCATATCGAATAGTTGTATGACTTCATTTAATGAAAATTTTGGGAAAATTAAAAAAATTGTTTGAATTAACTACAACTATAAGAACTAACATTAAAAAGAGTACAATTATAAAAGATTCTATCAACTTAAATATAGAATTCCTGAGTATTTATAGAAATACAAATTTTATAAAAAGTTGTAATTTCATTTTATTACACAAAGGTTTTACAAATGCACCTTGGAATTTCTTTACAACAGGGAAATACTTGAATTAAGTTTGTATTAACTTCTAATCTTACTAGGTCAAATTATAATTTGAATAAGGGAATTCGAATGGGAAAGATGAAATGCAAAGGCACTGATTCTCTCTTGTAAATCTGTTTTAATCCCCTCTAAACTCTAATCCCAATTTCTGCAAACTTGTAGGTGTAATATTTGTAATCCTCTTAAGTAAAGATTTATTGTTAATTTTCTATCTTATGCTTCTCACTACATACGCGTATCAATTGAGGCAAAAAGTACGATAACAGAATGTCTTTTTTTAAGGCGAAAAGATTTAGAGATACGCCAAATATTAAAACTATATGTATATAATTATAAATTAATATTTGCCGAGAGATTTTAAGACATTTATTTGTACATTTACAACTTTAATTCTATTGTAGATGGTTTCTGCCTCAGCTTACTGTCCCTGTTTAAAATATCAAAGGTATTGTAGATCACAATTAAGTTGATTAAATCCTTTTTTACTTACCCTTGGGTTATCCCTAAGCATTACCAAGAATTAATGATCTCTCTATAAGTGGAATTACTCTGTCGGTTCAAAATATCATGAAGACTGGTAATACAATTCCCAATTTTAACAAATATGGTAACAGTAAATAGTTTTTAATTTAGTAGATATTGTTATTTATTTTTACATCTGGCACTTTTTTATCTTACAATGTAGATAATATTTACAAAAGAATATGCAGTAATGTACCAAAAAGTTACTCATTCCAACACATGGCAAGCTACAGGAAGTTGAAAACGAAATAAAATTGCTATTTTTTTAATAAATTTTGAAAAAATTAAATTCAGAAGATGTCCATCATTAAATTTAAACATATTTGGTATCTTACTTTTTTGTATACGAGATGTGTTGAGAAATTAACCGAACTTTATTTTTTCAACTTTAGTATTAATTTTATACATTATTAGTCCTTATCTTCTTCAAAGTACTCCGCCTCCCTATTCTTACACTTTTCCCAGCCGTGTTTCCATTTCGCGAAGCAGTCCCGAATAGCTTCGTTTGAAATGGTCTTTAAAGCCTGTGACGAATTTGTCTTTATGTCATCATTAATCTGAAAACCGCGTCCTTTCAGCACTGATTTTAATTTAGGAAATAAGAAAAAAACGCAAACAACCAGGTCCAGCGACTAAGGAGTGTGAGGAAAGACAGTAATCTGATATTTGGCACAAATCTGACTAATTGACAACATGCCACAACTCTGCGAATTATTTCACGTAAACCATTGTAAAACGCCTTGATAGTACACACGGTTCACTGTTTCACCTTGAGCCAAGAATTCAAAATGCACAATTCCATTAAAGTCGAAAAAAACAGTGATCACCACTTTGACATTGGATTGAGACTGACATGCTTTCTTGGGGCGTGGAAATCCTTTGTCTATCCATGATATGATGATGATGTGCCAATCCGTGATGTGATGTGATGATTCAACTTTTGTCTTAATCTCACAGCCGTAAACCTAGTATCCCTATCCTTTGATTGAATGTTTCATCGTCATTGGATTGTTCGAGGAGTTGCCGCCAAAGGTTCACACGATTTTATTTCTGTTATTCATTTCATCAAACGAGGAAGAAATTTTGCACGCACCAGATCTGTGAATTTCTGAACGTGGGAGTCATCAGTTGAAGTTGAAGGCCTTCCTGATCGAGGATCATCTTCAATTGACTGACAAACACTTTTAAATTATTAAAACCATTCGCAACATTGCATACTACCCAGAGCATTATCTCCGTAAGCTTGTTTCAAAAGTTGAAACGTTTCCGTGAAAGTTTTCCCCAGTTTCACGCAAAATTTTACGCATTGTTCCAGAAAATCGCATAGTTCAAAAACCGTCACTAACACTTACACACGTTGCACTCAATTAACAATATCATGAAGACTAAATGAGATATCAACAATCCAAGAACATGTGGTTACAGAGGAAGTTATACGGAATGCAATGCTACCCAACCGCGTATCACCAATATATCTCCATTAGCGCGTAATTCAAAAAGTTCGGTTATATTCTGAACAAATCTCGTATGTAGAAACAATACATAGTTTCTCGAAATAATTTTGGGATTACCTTTATCTTTCTGATATGATGGTGAATCATTTACAGGATATTCATGGTTGCTAATAGACCAAGTATGATAATGGTTTAATCCAAAGAAATCAGCACTCTGCCGAATAAACTTTATTTCTTCATTTGTAAACGGTGGCAGTCTGGATTCGGTGAAATTTTCCAACTTGCTGTTTCTTGCGATCCTTTCTTTCATTATTGATGGGTAATCTCCCTCATCAGAAAAAATTGGATTTGCCCACCATCCTAACTGAAAAATAAGTATTATCTTTATAAACTAATTTAAGAGATTCTTCTAAGCGAATAAGGTATATTCCTTCAGTCAAATAACTCATTCAATTATAGTTCCTAAACTTTTATTTTGAATGAATCGGTTGTGAATTTTGCCCTTAAAATCTATTTCTATCTTTAAACTATAATCTCAAATTTTCGAAACTTTAATGTATGCCGTTTATAGTTCTTTTTAATAAAGTATGTGTAAGTATAACAAGTACAACAAGAATTACAGATTTTATTGTAAGTTTACATTTTAAATGAATTTCAGAAACTGGTGAAAATTACACCTTTAATGTAACGGTATTTGCATAGGGTAATTTTACATTAACCAGTGTGACCTCGAGATAATGTGTGTAATTCATATGGTTTATAACGAAATTATTGTAATAATTACATCTCCTTAAATTGGCATTATTAGGTAACTTCTAATGCTACTATGTATCGAGTATTTTATAAACGGATGTTCCTCTCCAAATTATCTAATCATCAGCATATAGGTATGTCAAATATGAGATTAATCTGTTAACAAATTAGAATCCTATATCGTTTTTCTTGATTTATGAAATATATTTCAAGATACAGGAATTTCACGAACTAACAAAATATATTACTACATGGCATCAATACTATGCATTTTAGTATTACTTGAAATAACGTACCTCCATTTCCATTTCTCTTTCTGCAGCTTCTATATCTTCTGTATTATTAGAATTTGGTTCTGCCCATATAGAGTCTATAGTGATTCCTATTTTACCTATTATAGAATGGAATAATCATTTTAGTTATGACACATTTTAATTTATCGACTGAGGGATAGAAAACAGATTTCCAGTGTCAAATATCAAAAAATGTCTAAATATTTCTTTAATCGGAATATTATACAGGGTAGCCCATCGAAAACGTACCGCAAGGGTAGTAAAGAACTTTTCGGCAAAATCCAAAAATAGGTCAAATTTGTTTCTGAGGGGGACAACTTTTGGCTCAAAAAGCATACCAAAATCTTCAACCCCCTAAGTGGGGGTGCTATCCCCTAAATTTTTTCAAATGGGAATGGGGGTCAAGTGGAGGGTCATTAGAAAGGGCTTTTAATTCTCTATACATCGATTCTTATTTTTTGAAAATCGATTCATTATTTTAGAAAATATGCAGCTTTGAAAATACGAACAATATTTTTGACGAGAAATGCGAAAATCGATTTAATGTTACTTCAAAACTTACGGTATTAGTCAAGTAAATGCTGAAAATGTTGTCCACCAACTTGCATACAATGATACAGGTTGTCTTCAAACCGTTGTCGAACATTCTGGAGCACTTGCGGTGTTACTTCGCGACATACATTAATGATTCGTCCTCGCAGATCTTCCAAGGTATCAGGTGGAGTGCTGTAAACTTTGCTTTTAATGTGCCCTCAGAGAAAGAAATCTAAAGGATTTTAAGTCGGGTAACCGATGGGGCCACTCAATTGCACCTCTTCGTCTTATCCAGCGTCCTGGAAACGTCTCATTTAGGTAATTGCGTACATTGAGCGAGTAATGTGGAGGAGCTCCGTTTTGCTGGAAAATCAGTTCGTGTTCATTGTAAGCAGAATCGTCCTCTATGATATTTGTTAGAGCTGGGTCGATGACATTTTGTAGTAAATCCAAGTACGTATCGCCTGTCAAATGTCCAGGAAGGAAAAAAGGACCTACAATGGAATTTCCAAAAATACCTGCCCATACATTCAACTTGTGGGGGTGTTGGGAGTGTTTCATGGAAAATCCTTGGATTGGTATCAGCCCAGTAACGACAATTATGGCGATTCACTAAACCATTCAAGAAGAACGTACACTCGTCCGAAAAACACACATTAAAGAGGAAATTATCGTTTATCGCTCGTTCAGTCATTATTTCGCAAAATTGCAAACGACGATCAAAATCGTCTTCATTTAGCTCTTGCACTAGCCGAATCTTATAAGGATGGAATTTGTATTTTTTTAATATTCGTTGGACACTTGTACGACTCACTCCTGTCGCAGTAGCCAATTGCATTGTACTCAGCGTACTATCCATTGCCACTTGCCCCAATACCGCTATTTCCGTAGGTTCATTTAGTACCGGATTTTCAACCTGCCTCTTTTTGTTATGAACGGAGTTTCGCGAAATTTGGCCACCAATTCGCGAACAATTTTTCCAGACGCATGTTTCTCAGGATGCCGTTGGTTGAACAGTTCGGCGACCCGATTTCCGCATTCATTGTTTTTGAAAAAAAGCTCAATCATTTCTACTCTTTCTGGAATTAATCAATTTAAAAGACTCGGCAGTATTGGTACTCTTCAACTACAAGTCACAAAACAGTTATCTAGCAACTTCTTGTGGCCTATCTAAATACGAAACAAAAAGCGGACAATTTTTTGCTCACCAAAATCAGGTTAAAGAATTCGCAAATCAGAAAAAAAACAGCGAATTCTTTTGAAGGAACTTACCAAGCTAATACCGTAATTTTGAAGTAAAATTTGAATTTGAATAAAAATATGTTTCGTATTTTCAAAGCTGCATATTTTCTAAAATAATTGACCGATTTTCAAAAAGTAAGAATCGATGTATAGAGAATAAAAAGCCCTTTCTAATGACCCCCACTTGACCAACATTCCCATTTAAAAAAATTTGGGGGATGGCACCCCCCCCCTTAGGGGGTTGAAGATTTTGCTATGCTTTTTGCGCCAAAAGTTGTCAGCCTCAGAAGCAAACTTTACCTGTTTTTGGATTTTTCCGAAAAGTTCATTACTACCCTGTAATGCCTTGCGGTACGTTTTCGATGGGCTACCCTGTATATTAAAACATAAAATGTATGTAGTTGAATCTTTTATATCAAAAATAAACTAAGTGAAATTTTGAGAAAAACAATATAAATGTTTATATTTAGATATAGGGTTCGTGGTATTTCACATAACAAATAAAAAAATATACCTTAATTTATGATATATGTTTAGAACATTGTTAAAGAGTTGCTGTAACGGAAAAAAAATGAATAAAAAACGTAGTTAGCTCCTTTCTACAATGATTGAAAAAAGTAATAGATCATAGATATCTAAAGGGTGGTCCAACCATAATGCACGATGTTAATTGTGACTCACACCTTAACGTCAAGTTTTTTGCCCAACTTAATTTGACATTTCTTTGTTTCAGTGTTTGACAAATTCAACCTTGGAGAGGTACACAATTGAGCAGCGCGTTAAGATTGTTGAAGCCTTTTACGAAAATGGGCGTGCAAATCAAAATGCATTTCGTGCACTTCGTGATTTTTTTGGTCAGCATAATCGACCAAATGTGTCCACAATCGAGAGAATTGTGCGCAAATTTCAGCAAACCGGGTCTGTAGGAAATGTGAAAACACCTGTGCATGCTCGCCCAGTTCGTTCTGCGGAAAACATTGCTGTTGTTCGCGATAGTGTGGCAGAAGAGCCGTCAACCTCGACTCGTCGTCGTGCCCAACAATTGAACATCTCACGAACATCACTAATGCGAATTTTGAATAAATATTTGAATTTACACGCTTACAAGGTTCAATTGACTCAAGAGCTGAAGCCTACTGACCATTTCAAGCGTCGTCAATACGTCGAATGGCTGGTTGAACAGACAGAAGTGAATGGTGACTTTACAAAGAAAATCAACTTCAGCGACGAGACACACTTTCACCTCAGTGGATTCGTTAACAAGCAGAATTGCCGCATTTGGGCAAATGTGAATCCACGAGTGATTGTTGAAAAACCGATACTTCTTCGAAAATGAGGTCGGCCAAGCAGTTACCGTGAATGATGTTCGCTATCGCGAGATGATAACGGACTTCTTGTGGCCAGAAATTGAGGATATGGACCTGGACGATACGTGGTTCCAACAGGATGGTGCCACTTGTCACACAGCCAACGAAACAATGGCTCTTTTGCGCGAGAAATTCAATAGCCGTGTTATCTCACGTCGTGGCGATGTTAATTGGCCGCCACGATTATGTGATTTGACACCGTTGGACTTCTTTCTTTGGGGATATTTAAAAGAAAAAGTGTACGTCAATAAGCCAAGAATAATTCAAGAGCTAAAGGATGAGATAATTCGACACATTAACGACATTGAACCTCAATTATGTCTCAGAGTCATTGAAAATATGGACCATCGGATAGAGGTATGCCACCGAAGCCGTGGCGAGCATTTGGCCGATATTTTGTTTCACACATAATTGTCATAGACCTTCTATCATAATAAAAAATATTAAGATAATTCTCTGAAAACTTTTTGTTTTATTTACATTAACATTTAATTAACATCATGCGTTTTGGTTGGACCACCCTTTATATATATTACTTATATTTTATGAACAATAAAATTAAATTCTTATTAGCGACAATTTAATCTTAGTACGTGGGTACTTGTTTCCTACATAAGGAAATTTTTTAAAATATTAAATTTTAGACACTAAAATTGGTAACAATATGTAAACCATTTTCTATGGCATTTCTAACCAAACTTGTTGAAATAATAATGAATTCTGAAACTTCGATATACCCAGGTCATGTACTTATGCAGAAAATAGTGTAATTGTGGTAGATATTACAGTTCAGGTCACGTATCATTAAGATAATGGTGAGTGTTCTGTTTGCTTAAAGTTTTTCAATTACTAGTGTTGAAGTCTGTATATCTTCGTAGAACTTTTTTTAATGCCATAATTTAAGTTGTCTTAAACAAAACATTAGATCATAAGACGTGTATGTTTTAACATTGATAATGATAGTTTAATGCAAAAAGACTTCACTTGGTACTTTTCTGTAATAAGCTGAGTATTATACCAATAGTTTTAACATGAATAATTCCTTTCTATACCAAATAAAATAGATAGAGGCAGAACATGAAAACACAGCATATTCGAAATTGTCAAAAATGTAGGTCTCCAAAATTAATTCAGTTATTATAGTATTTCTCTAACTTTTATTCCAGTATCTGCACAAACCAGATTTGCAATATTATTTATATGTGAACCTATTTTGAAAGAACTCGAAGATATTATGTAATAACTTCTTTGATAAAAAATCCTTAAAATTGTTTCCCATTTTGTTACACTTACAGAGTATTGCACGTACTCAGCCATGATCGAAGAACTACTTAAAATGTATCGTTTCGACTCAAAAAATAGTTTTTTCTTGTATACTATATTTCGACGTTAATATAGCTGAATTCAATTCATTATTTAACCTACCATGTTAGGAAGCTTTAACCTGCCTTAGTTGTTCTCGGATTAGATATTGTGAGAACAGATCTACTATTAGGACCTCTAGGCCCGCCTTGATGTTGATTTCCGTTCATGTTTCTATCCAAAGCTACTACAGACGGAACCATTCCTCAGGCAGTGAAGATCTTTTGAGACCTTCCGTAATGGCCTTTGTAATTGGTCGCATCCAATGCTTCTAAACATATTGCCGTCCTTTACAGCCCACATCTTTAATGGTGATTCTGCAAAAGCTTCGCCGCGACTGAGGTGAGAACAACAAGGGCAGGCAAGAGTAGTCAAAGATTTCCAGAAGACCGGGTACACAGGCCAAAAGTTACAGGGAGCATTGTATATAATTAGGTAATAATTTGTTATGTTATGTACCAAAGAATTTCAAATTTTACATTAAAATAGGAATATTTAGTGTATCATTTGTAATCTGAATATCAAAATTAATAACAATCTTCAACAAAAGGTACTACCTATTGTATTAAGAAAAAATACCTCCATGCGATTTTCTGTATAATTCATCATACATATGATAGGCTCTCGCGTGTGCTAGAAGTAGAGTTCGTCCACACAAGTAGTCACCAATTCCAGGAGAAAACACGTGAGGTGCGCCTTTACCGTTTCCATAAGTATCTTCACAAATACTAGCAGGTTCGTTTATGGTGATCCACCTCTTTACTCTGTCACCAAATAATTTAAAAGCAATTTTTGCGTAGTCCTCGAAATACTGAGCGAGATCAGGGTTTGCCCATCCACCAAGATCTTGAAGCTTCTGAGGCAAATCCCAGTGATAAAGAGTTACCTTGAAATATTTTACTTCCTTTACTATTATAGAAAAATAATAAAACTGTAGCGAAGCCCCAACAAATAAATTTATAACAATATAAGAAGCTATCCTCAAATTAAAATATTAATAAAAGAATTATAAATAGTTGTAATGCTTATATAAAGTTTTTCAAGAATAAGGTGCTGATAGAAAATATACGATTGGTGATTCAAGCTTCAGCTCTTCTGAAACTGGACTATGGACAAAGATACAATATAACAAAGATATACGTATCTCATTTTAAACGCTGAATAAAAATTGGTAAAAGTTTTTTTAATGTTGAAAAGAAGGGTTGGACAGACAGACTAGTATTTTTAAGTTACGAGAGAAAGCATAAGAGAAATTGTCTCATGACATTGTACTCCAGTGCTTACAGAAATTGTTTGTGTATTATTTTTGGACATAGAACTGCTTCCTAATAATACACTGGATCTATGTTATGTGGATGATCTTAGATGTTAGAAAGCTTTTTGTTACAGCTTTTGTTGCAACTTTGCACATCCTCAACTGTTTCATTATTATCTGCAAACTTCTTGCAAATATTGTTTGAAAGATTCAAACAAATGTTGGATTAGAATAATGAATAGGGCTATACCAAAAATTTCAGATTGTTCAGCTTTTCTAGTGTATGAGCAGTACCATGGCAGCAAAAATAGTTTCCCTTGTGTAAACTTTCTGGTATTTTCGATCATTTCGCTGGACTTGGCTTGTTCACTAGCATGCCACTACATCGATTGCTAGTCACATTTTCATTATCATCTCAAAACATGGTCAACGTTACTTTAACAAAAGAGATGTGAATCCTAAATTTATTTGGCACCGTGACGAAAAGTAAGCCTTTCTCAATGATTCTCTCCTGTTTACTATTTACGTACTTAAGGGATAAGGAATATTTACGAATTGAAAGTTTGGTTTGTTAAAAATATATAAAAGCTGTTTTGCAAGTTCTGATAAATTGCGCCGGAGTCAACGCTTTTATAACAATGTTATTAAAACATATCATTAAATTTATCATTAAAAATTAAATCATTTCAAATCATTTCAATCAAAATCATTAAACCTTGAGTAACTTAAATATTTCTATTAAGAATTATATGTACAAAGAAATCTTCTGCGCTGCTTTGTGACTACTGTCCTTTTTAAAAGTTGAAAAATAACGAATATTTTTTTAAAATGTTAATAATTATCTACTGTTACTGCTATTAAATGTTTTCATTATTTCCCACTGTTACAAATTAAAAAATTGAAAGGCTTTCTCTGAACTGAAGGCTGACTACTTTTACAGTTTAGCTGGAATTAATTCAATTAGTTCAACGTTCAATCATAAAGAACAAGACAGTGTTACATTAATTTAAAATAAAACAATTTATGATACAAAAATTAATGATATGATTAATTTCTACGAACCATTGGCTGAATGTTATTTTTCAAAAGTTCATTAATAATATTGTTGTAGTATTTCACTCCATCTTCATTAATCTTATTTGTAAATCCGTCCGGCAATATCCTCGGCCAAGACAATGAGAACCTGTAATAATCTACGCCCATCTCTTTCAGCATTTTTATATCTTCTCTCCACAAGTGATAGGAATCGCAAGCTACATCACCAGTGTTGTGATCAGTGACCAATTCTGGGTGAGTATGGGTAAAGCGGTCCCATATGCTCTCTCCTTTGCCTGAAGAAAATATTCAAAATAATAAGCAACATATATCTTTGGGAAAATTTAAAACATTGCAAAAAAGATACATAAACTTATATATAAACAGAATTTTTGTTGAGTATGTTAAAAGTGTATACAGAGTGTTTGCGGTATTAATACTGTAAGTTCAATATGTAACAGAGCAACACAAAATAAAAGCAAAAGTCTTTTGCGACATAGTTCAAAATCTATCAATTAACAAAACAAATCTGTTTGTTACACAACGCATAAGTATGGTTATTACGGATTACATGTACAGTTGTAAATACTAATAAATAAATAGATGCATTAAATGGAGATGGAAAATGAGGAAGAAAATGCGACTTTTTGTATTTGTCAGGTATTATAACTAAAAGAAGTGCTGAAAATTCTAAACAAGTGTGCGCTCAAAGAATACGATTGTCTGGCATAGAATGGAAAATTCCCGGTACCTCTTATTATTTCCTGAGCTCTTTAAAAATTCAATAAAATCCCTTCCAATAGACTTGGCAATATTATAATTAAAAAGTTTAAATAGTTTTATTTCGACTTCTGCGAAGAATAAGTGGCTTAATTAAATAAGGATGTTATTTAATTACTAATCCAGCCTATAACATTCATAAAAAGATTGTTGAAAATTAATGATTTGATTGATAATTATCCTTGTGCTGTAATTGTCATTAACAATCTATTATTTACTATTCTACCTGCACCAGAATTTCACTATCTAAAACACCCCAACAAGTAAGCGTGTGGTTAATATCTGAATATCGGCTACCATAAATACATTGAGTTTCACAGGAGTGGCATAGGAACTTTTCCATAAATTAATAACATATCGTGATATTTACAGCAATACCATTAATATTAACAACTAAGAGACATGTTAACTAACTAGCTTCTAATCAGCTGCCAACTGAAAGTTAAAAACAATTTGGGTAAAGAGCACAGTTCGGGAAAGAATAACAACATCAGAAAATTAGAAGAAATGAATATTAATCATATTGGTGCTACCTTATAAGATTATTTCACTTAGGAAAATGATATTTTATACGTATTTTTGCATAAAATAAAGTCATGTTTGAAGAAGTAAACTATTATTACCCTTAAAAATAAAAGTCTCATCCATAACTGTAATTCCTTTTATCTTGGTTTGTATTGTTATAAACTGTTTTTTCTAGAAATGTTCTAGGTTTAGGACTCATATAGAATCTTCGAGTTTCTATAAAATGAAGACAACTCTATTTACCTTCAGTCGATTTTTTTGAAAATCATTTAAACAATTTAATTGAAATGGAGCTGTCAATATTTTTATAATTTTATGTAGATATCTACGAAAAGTGATTAATTAATTGATCAAGACTAAAATAGGCATATTCTTTTAAATTTCAATTTACACGGAACCATCACAATCCATTAAAAAATTTATTACTGCAATATTTATGATGCATTTTAGATTTTGTAATAATATTATTTTGATGTTTATCATGCTCTTCTATTACTTTTTGTCATTATTTTTATCTTTTGTTATTCCTCTATGTTCGCCTTTGACTTATTGCATGTAGATGATATTGATTATTTGTCACTAATTATAGAATATTATTTGTTTCTTACTTACAATAGAGTCATGGAGAAAGAAAAAAATAGTGTTATATTATGTTGAACATTATATACATAAGTAAAATTAAATATTCTCAACTTATTTTTTTTAGTATGCTTCTGTACTATTATTTCAGAAATATTTGCATCAAAACTTAATCAATTTTTAAAACGCTTAAAATTATGTTGCATACAAAGATGGGTGTAGATTTCAACATCACCCTTGGAACTATGCGTTTGCGAAAAATCAATAAAAATATATATATACAAGAAAATTAAGAACCAAAATTAGATTTAAATATACCTGTATGCAACTGTTAAAAGTTGTTTTAAACTGAACTCATTAATATAACATCTCTGTCAGAGATTAAATTAAAATTAAATATTCTGTTAGTAGGGCAAAAAAAATTAAGTAATATTTGTACTAGATTGGCAAAGTACAGGAAAAGTTATCTGAAACAAATTATTTGAATGGTAAATGTGATTATGGATAACTTTATATAAAAAGCGAAGTAGTGGCACAAATATTCTATTTTCTAGTAACACAAATATTAAATCGATCAATACGTCGATTTTGGAAGCTCTTTTAAAAATGACATGATTCAAAAATCTTCTTGGGATAGACTCCAGTTTGTTAATATGGGATGTAGAATAAGAAACAGTACTCACCTTTTATCAGACAACAACATAAAATATTTTTAATGTATATCACCTATTCTAAATCAATTAGCTGAAACCAGATACATTTTTTTGTATTACTCTATTTGTATTTTGTATAACTCTTGCGAGATAAATGAATATATTTTATTCTGCGGCAAATTACGGTGATTATTATTAATTTTTATTTTTTATACTATTTTATGTACATAGGTATTATATACTGCAACTATAAGTAAGTGTTACAAAAAAGTAGAAAAAAAATAATTTTATAAACAAAACACTAAACTAAAATCATTATTGCAAGAAAGTATGGTATTATGAAAAAATCCTTCATTTTGAAAAAATTTAATATAGCTGACACCTTCTGCGGAATTAAGAAATTTATAAATGTAATCTATAAATTAAGAAAAATAATACAGTATCAATTTCAAATTGTGAAAATACTCTATGCTTAAATTGAGCAATTTATTTTTTTAGTATGCATTCCTTTGCCAAGAAAAAATGTTTAACCTAAAATTACATAACCGAACCTAAACTATTCTCCTTTCAGCCCGAATATATTTTTCATGTGTCTCTTTGATTTTAATGATGTTAATTGTCATATTTGCTATCATTGGCCATTTTTCTTCCGCATTAGTCATTATCGACTGTTATTTCCCTGTCAAGCCGATGCGATGGTGACTTCCTTAATAATTTGAACCTTGAACAGATAAATATCGTATGTTCATGTTCAACAGTCGTCTTTAGATAACTTGGAATTGTTTAAATATAATGCTCTTTGGACAAATAGTAGTTTATTTCGCCGAATGTTCTCTGATGTCCTTAAGAACTCTTCTTTCCTAGTAGGCCTCTGTATCTGTCTCCCGCATCCACCTTGTGTGGTATGCCTCTTCCATTTGACGTTTAACCTGTTTGTTTTGCCCTCGTCTTTCATATAGGTCAGGGGATAATCTAAGGAATTCCCCCCCCCCCCCAAAAAAAAGTACTTTTTAAATTTAAATAAATTATTGTAAGATTGTATGATAATTCTTTGTTAATCCTTTCGAGTTTATTAATTTTGTTCCATGTACTATACTCAAAGTACATAGTCATTGTTTTATTTCAATAAATTTATGTTATTTATTTATTAACCTTCTAGAGAGTCGGCATTTAACAAGTATTCATGAAATTTCAATTTCATAGTACTTCAAGCAATCAAATTTTGCAACTGCCCTTTTTAACTTTTAGAACTAACTATTTTTTTTAAGAACTGCCGGTTAGAACTAATTCTTAGATTATGCACTGATATAGGCAACATATTTGCCAATAGTACGATACAAGTTCTTAAAGCCAGCATTCTCTGTATTTTCTTTAAGTTTTAAGTCAACTCTTGCCCACTTTTGGACCTTATGCATGACTACTAAGAGCTGTGGCTATTCTTTTGACTCTACCAAATTTGAAAAGGATATGTTTCTTATTACTCATATGCCAGGATACTTAAACACTTATACAGCGATAGTGGTAGTACCTACAGCCCTCCTCATTGAGACTCCTTTGTCCAGCTAAAAGGACTACCTCCGTTTTCCGAGGTGCAATCTGCAGGCCATTTGCAGGTTACTCGTATATCCGCTAATCTATGTTCCAAAACAGTGGGTCGATTACCGATGCCTGGGATACCCTACTAATAATATTCATCATCTCTGTTTCCTTATGCACAATTTCTTATTTACGGCTGGCGTTTTATAAACAAGAAATCGCACTTTTAGTAAGACAACGATTAGAATAAGAAAACCAAACTGAACTATAAAATGTTGAAATACAAGGATTCCTTTAATTTTTTGCAGTGAAAGGTGGTTACCCATGTAAACATCGGAATGTACCTTTCCTATTTTGTCGAGAATTTTATAAGAATACTCAATAATTACTCAGCCCCACATTAAAAAAAAATGGGAGATCCGAAAGACAAGTCAATGGTAGCTGTATGTTTTGAGTTTAGAACTTGAAAGTATTTAGCAGACCTGATCAGGTCAAACGGATCCTGGATTCGGATACAGTAGTCCGAAACACGTGTAGATATATTAGTTTACATTATGCCCAAACAACAGCAAAGTACAGCAAGCCCAAAAACATATAGATATATGGGTCTACTTTGTTGGAAATTGATTCCCTACATTTGACCTTGAACTGACCTTCAACCAGAGCTAATCGGGTCAAATCGATTCGGATTCAGTGAAAACATATAGCCATGGCCGTGTCTTTCAGACCTCCCACTTTTTTGTGTGGCTGTGTTATTATTAATCAATGTGTTAATAGTTTTATAAAAGCAGTCTGCGGGGTGTGATTATGATTATAGTACCGTACACGATTTTCTGTATATTCAACAGGTGTCTACAGTTCAAAAAATGTAATATTAAATGGTATATTAACAAATATATCGGCCATAAGAAGGTCGACTCTTGGATAGTTTTCTTTCGTTTCTTTAACAAAACTAACTGAGCTACTTTCTATCGTTCTGGGAATTCTCCATTCCGTCACAGTTCGTTCATTGTTCTTAGACATGTCCTTGAATATGTTCCCGTGACAATATTTATTAATTCTGGTGTTAATCCATATGGGCCTTATGCTATTCCCAATTCTTTTGTAGTGAACTGCTCCACGTCTCTATCATTAAAGTGAATGGGCTTTCTTGCCAACAGTCTGCTACTGGGCAAATTTAATTGAGGTAAAGTTCCCATTTTCTTGCAATGAACTTTGTATCCAATTCTCCGTACCTACTCATTTCACGGCGCAGCTTCTTCCAAGATTCCATTTTTGCTGTATTGATAGCGTTAGTCAAAATATTTCTTTTTTCGGTGTATACGACTGTGATTCTTTGATTGTCCAGTTGATTCTTTTTTTGTTAGCAGTGGCCCTACTATAAATAACCTTCTTTCTTAAATATTCCCCTCTGACTGCTGCAATATCCTGTGTTCACAAATTTTACAATTCAATAAACATGAATTGTAAAATTAATTTTCTGCACAAGTTCAGTTTCTATCAAATTAAAAATAATGCAGGCATTTATAAATAATCTCTTTCAGAATATTGCTTCTAGAATTTGTTTATACTTACTTCACCACTTTTTTTTATGGAATGTGTAGGACAACTTTAGACTTTTTATTATAACGAAGTAATTACATAAATATGAACAGTGAGACCATGTTTTCAAAGAGAAAAACAAATACTTACCACTTGCATTCCATCCCCCCTCAACCTGATACGAAGCTGTTGCCACACCAAATGTAAATCCAGAGGGGACTGGTGTAGCGCCTCCAACCAATACAATTTTCATCAACAAAAACAAGTTTATTGTTTTAAACATCCTGTCTCACCGTATTTTCAAATTCATACAATAATTTCACATCTCCACGTTATTACAGCTAGAGTTGAATATGTTAGTGTTACCCGATATGGTTTGCACTATCTCTATTATGTCATGCAATGAGAAATAATTTAGTGATAGCAAACTCGTCTCCCGACAGAGGCGTAGATGTAAATTTATTTAATGGTTTCTAAATTTGCCATGTAATGCTGGTTAGAGGGTAATATGTAGGAAAACAATATTTTTTTATTCACAATAATTATTATTAAATAGGTATGTACAAACCGGAGTATAAAAATAAACTATTTAGAATTTTATAATTTTCACATCTACATAAATGGGTTAAAATTGAATTGACATTAATGACCATAATTTTAACTTTGACCTTACTTTTGAAAAAGCGTCAATTACAATTAATATTCAGTGATAAATACAGAGCTTTCATAAATGATTACAAGCCACGTGACCGCCGAGCTTAGGCAACCAACATTGCAAGGCTAGTACTGTCAACCAAAAATCGCGAAATCTTAGCGCAACCAACATTAATGATTCATTTGTAAGGAACAATGATAAACCTATGTCTGGAGATAATGAGATTGCTGATTGGTTGAATAGAATCTCGTGAAATATTACACTAATCACCACCCGATAAAACAGAATGTTATGTTTTAATCATAGACCTTATAAACTACTGAACTCGCCCAACCGACATTTTGCTAATATAAATGGCAATCGGACAGATGTGTGCGAGAGAGATAGAGATATTGCGGGCTAATGCTTCGTTCACAGAACTTCGACTGTAACGCGCTACATAAACTGCATAAATTGAAATCGATGTTTTCTTCGTTCATGAATTTTACTCTAAGGTTTGTTTACGGTTTTGTACCGGTATAGCGGTGTACCATTATTTGTTTTACCGGTATTTGCCTGCACTAGCTTCATCTGCCTTGCACACATCAGCGCGACTGACCTCTCCTTCTAGGGCCAGTCCACAGCTTATAAGGTATGTTGTTTTAATGTAAACTTGTTTTTATCGTTTTAATATTTTTTCTTTTACCGAAATTTAATTGCCAACGTGAAGAAAATACAATTACTGTTCCAAACAGAATTCCTGGTCACGTGACTTATAATCATTTATAGACATTGTATTTTTAATGATAATGAATATTAATGAAGTACGCCCCTGAATGTTTAAACTGAAATATGATATATAGAGATTCGTATCCTTAATGTTAAATTTGAACTGAATAATTAGTTTTTACATCTTTTCCAGTAGGTATTTCACAAATTATTGGTTTAATTTTAAAAACTGTCATTTCACTAATTAATTAATTTTGAAAATTCGTCAATTCAGTTTCAGGCACTTCGATTATCATTAAATAAATATAAAGAGTGTATTCCAGAAATCATCAAATATACATATTTCAGTTATTCTGAGATACCCCTAACTTGTTTTTTGATAAAAGTTTATACCTATTTGTTGTAATAGTTTCCTCATTTTTCCCTAATGTTTTCAAAAGCTTATATTCCAAATATTGTGAATACATATGGGAGTAAAGGTGAAATAAGTGTATAAGGGTATTCAGCATAATAAAAGATAAATTTTATTATTTATCCTTCTCCAATAAGTTTAGAACGTTATCCAAATGCATTTGGAAGTGAGCCAGTCGCAGTTTATAGTTTATGGAAAGAAATTCTGTTAGGAGACTCATCTATAACATTATAATAGTTCTTTTATAGTTCTATATAGGTACATATACCTATGCCGTTCTTATTCGACATATTGTAAATGATATTACGTATAATTTTATTTTGACGAAAAAAGTTTGTTTCTTCTGCTGTCTGATTCTATATAAACTTGAGAGCATGATCAATGGTTTCCAGGGTTTTTTAAATGTAAATACCTAGCTATATTTGGTGATTTTATGAAAAAAGCGTATTCACTTTTCCTTAATATCTTGCTGCTGAAAACTTTTAATCAAATTTAGTGAATAATCTACTAACTACAATTTAAAAAAATTAGACATATAGGTAAGTAATTGTTAATTTTATTAGAGAAATTGGAAATGGGTAGGTACAACATTTAATGAAAAAAAAACTTAAATATCATTCAATCAGTTTACTGAGATACTGAGCATCACTGTCCACTTCTGCAGTTGTGCTTTAAATGATAGTTAGATGCACGGAACACTGCATTCCTAATATGCAGGGTATTTACAAATTATAAAAGATAGTGGTAAGTAGAATGCATTAATAACACAGATCCACAAAAAAAAAAGTTGAAAATACCAAAGACTAGACCCACCTATCCTTATGTATTTTGATGGGACGAAACCGAATCGGGAGTCAAAATTGCTCCATCACCCTTTTTTTTAAAAATCGCTAAAGACTACCCCCAAAACACGGAAAATCTTCAAATTCTCGCTTGAGTACGGGTCCGAAGGTTGAGATAAACGTGAGAACCAGCACAATAAGACTATTTTATATGTACTTTGACGAGCTAAAACCGAATACCCAGATACAATCCCAAGTCATCTTTATTTAAGACATTAAGGAAATGGAACGCCGGTACCAAGGACGATGGGATGTTAATATGATGGCAGATTTTTGTTGGATGCTTAAAAAGGAATCCGAGCCAGATAGCAGAAAAAGAAAAAGGTATCCACTACATTACGATAAAAAAAGATAGAATGTTAAGATCCGAGACAATAACACGCGATTTTCCGTATTTTTGGGATGATTGTCGCGATTTAAAAAAACTGGAGGGCGATAGAGCAATTTTGGCTCCGGATTCGGTTTTAGCTCGTCAAAATACATATAAAATAGTCTTATTGTGCTGGTTCCCACGTTTATCTCAACCTTGGGACCCGTGCTCAAGCGAGAAATTGAAGATTTTCCGAGTTTTTGGGATGATTTTCGCGATTTAAAAAAAAATGGAGGGTGATGGAGCAATTTTGGCTCCGGATTCGGTTTTAGCTCATCAAAATACATATAAAATAGTCTTAATGTGCTGGTTCTCACGTTTATCTCAACTTTCGGACCCGTTGCCAAGCGAAAATTTGAAGATTTTCCGTGTTTTTGGGGTAGTTTTTCGCGATTTAAAAAAACTGGAGGGTGATGGAGCAATTTTGACTCCGGATTCGGTTTCAGTGCGGCAAAATACATAAGGATAGGTGGGTCTAGTCTCCGGTATTTTCATCTTTTTATTTGTGGGTCTGTGTAATTAGTATTTTCAATTATCAAAATCGTTAAAACTGTAAAAAGGTATTTTGTTCCGTTTTTTGAAACAAACAGCAGAATTTTAGCTTGTCACCTTTTCAAAAACGTATAGGTAAAAAGTATGTTATTGTTTAAGTTTCAAGCAAAATTATTATCAGTTTAAGTGAAGTAATTTATTTATTTGAATTTTTACTTTTAACTGTGTTGTGTTTCTGCGAAACAGTTTGTCTAGAATGTGTGCGAGCGCGTATGCGTGTATGTATATGGGGCGTGCGTATGTTTGTGTGTGTCAATGAGTGAATAAACGTAGGTACTAAAATGGCCCAGCGATATAGGTACAGTTGCAATGAATTATGGACATGATGGTTACATTTGAAACCACTAATGAAAACTTTGAGTTAATTGCACCATCCGTACAGCGATATTTATGCATTTATTTGTAAACAGAACCTGCCGAGCTATCAATGGAGTCAGTGGTTCCAAAAATTTTTTTTTCGTTATTGTGGGTAGTCCATAAGTATTAAAAAATAATTCGATTTGCAAAAAATATTACTGACAACTGAATTTTCACATCTTGATTTATTTACTCTTAAAAAATCTAATTCAATTTTATAAGCTCCTTGTATGCAAGTGTCCCAATAGGACATTTTGTCAAGCATAGAGCATTTGGAACATTATAAATGAGTAGGTAGTGGGGATTAAGGTCAAATTTCAAAGAAAATATTAACGTATTTTTACCTATTTCATTATTAATAATTGTGGGTTTTGATGTGCTCTTGGCTATATATGTATTTCCGTTTTATCTATTATCCATTACCTAAGGTCGGTCGATGCCGATGGCCGAGCGGTTCGGGGCATTAATACTTGGAATCGATGAATGCCACTGTCGCGGGTTCGATCCCCACGGCCGTAAGACTGTAGATGTAGCTATAGGTACTCCTAGGGGGAATTCTCTCGACGGGTATGGTAGGGTGGAAGAGCGTTGACTTGAGTCCATATGAAGATTGATACCGATCGGTATTTGACCATCCCTCTAATTAATGAGGTTTTCCACTGAATGGTGATTAGAGCTTGCCAACGTCATTTCTAGGTGCACATGCGGCTCTCTGAATGATAATATCCCGCCCCCTCTCCCGCACAAGACTCAAACTTCTGTCAGGCGGTCTTTTCATTTGTTACACTTTCACTAAAAGTTAAGTGTAGGTAATAAATGATTAGTTATTGAAATTATGAATTAATTTATCAATTTTATAGCAGCAATCAGAACACTTTGATATTATGATAACCCTCCTATTTCCTCTGTTACTTTGTTATATGAGGTGCTAGTGTAAGCTTTACACTACAGTTCTTCCTTTCTTGGAATGATATGCCTTGAGAGGAAATGAAAATTTATTCAAGTGTATTTAATAATTTTTATTCGTGTTATACAATCTCAGCATTACTTTGTGATCAAAGTTTAATATATTGGGCAACAACGTTACAAAACTAAGCTCCAGTATATTTCATGGGAGTTTACAGATTTTGGGCCCGTTCCAAAACTGCCGGGTCACTTAACGGCATGTTTGTTATTAGATAGGTATCTGCAGCAATGTAACTAAACTAGTAAATTCTAGCATGGGTAGTCAAAATCGATGTTTCTCCAGGTTTACATGTAAATAGGCATTACGTCTGTTTTATTGCATTTTCAAATAAAACAGATGTAAGAATTTTCATTTTAAAATATGTACCTAATTTATATTATTATCATCTTATACTTATAAGATGATAATAATATAAGATATTATAATAATTAATTTATTCACACAAACAATTTATACATAATAAAATACAGCAGTAAGAATAATAGTGAATAAATATAAATATTCATAGTGAA